GAACCTGCTAATCCTGTTCAAACAGGTCGGCACCAATTTGAAACATGTGTACAACGATCATGTGAATACCGACATGTCATATAATGATTTCTGCGCATTGTGTAGCAGTTGCTGGCTAGACAAGTTTGGTTTCCTAGTGATAGACAAGGACAACACGCTTTCTAATGGGCGATACAGAAAGGGATTTAACGTGTTTGCAGTACCGCGAACCGATTAGTCGTTGTCAGTATTCCGTTGGGTGAAAAGCGAGCGATCAGCATGGCTGGGAGCGATGATATTAGCAAGCGTGAAAAGATTGCGAGAGAGATCGCAAAAACGAGCGAAGCAATTCGCAAGAAACATCGCGCTTTGAAGATTGGTAGGATCGATGATGACATCGCGGTGAAGACGCACTTTAGACCAATCATCGAGCCGTTGCAACAGATGGCTGACAACTCCAACGGGGTACGCGCGATAAAAGACGAGCCGATCCATGACATGGGGATGATTGATACATCATTCGACTACAAGTGCGAGAAAGATGCTATACGGCGACAGATAAAGAGAGGGGAAAAACGGACCTCATCGAATCGCCCGTTGATCGAGTCCCCCGAATCGAAACATTGTAAATTGATGGATGTATCGTATGAGTTGGAAGCACCACCGATAACCTCTACACCGTTGATAACCTCTACACCACGTGCGACGGCCATGCGTCCAATGGAGGTGACTCTTGGGTCTGAGGATGTTTTCGAAACCACTGGGGATTCGCTCCCGTCAGCCGTTCAACGCGAGATACAAACGGAAGAGGGTCAAGCAGCGTTGCAGATGCATCTGGGCCCGCTGAGCCAAAAATATATCGAGGCAGTTCTACGCGGACCACCTGCCAAAAAGAGTGGTGTAAAGAACAACATAGATTTCGTATACGGTGTTCATCTCGACAAGGATGGAATGAGGCTCGGCAGTAAACGGTTCGATGTAGACAGCAACGATAATATAATTCTCGACGGTGTGCAATACAAAGGTACGCCTGGTTTTTACGAGCTGATTTTCAAGAGACTTCCCGACGATGAAGTGTACACAAAGGATGATCTAAACAAGTACAAGAGCATACTTTTGGCGACGAATGCGCACAGGCGCAATTACAGCGCGCAAGGTCAGAAAATTCGTACCAGAGGGCACAAGTACAACCACATAATCGCACCGTTAATGCTGGACGGAGGAATGAAGACTCGGTCCAGGACAAAATCTGGAAAAGGATTACCTCACTCTATGGCACTAAATGACAATGCGATCGATTACGTGCACTGGGACGATCCCAATGAGCTTGTGGATCGCCTACGATTGCTCGATGCTTCGCGCCGAGCCGGCCACAACGCTCACGACAACGAGATGCTATCGATTATCGAGGAACTTCGCGAAGCTGGTTTTATTATAAATTAACTCGCGTATCATCGAAATGAATCAGTCGATTGGTGTCGTTTGCGTTGATAAAATGCCTATCGACAAATTTGGACTATCCGAAGGGAGAAGAGGTACAACCGATAACATTTCATACAATCGCTGGAGCGGATTGATGAGAAGTTACGTGCATCATAACGCTCTCTGTCGCGCTGCTACGGATTTCGTTGCAAGATCATGCAAGATTCGTCGTGTAGCGCAACCTGAGGCTGATACCGACGCTGTAAACAAACTGTACGTGGAACAATGCGTTGTAACGTTGAGGAAAGAGTCTGATGAGAAGCTGATTGCGTTGGAGAAGAACTTGCAAGCTTTACAGATCGCTATAAACGAGCTCTGGCATGCAAATATCACTAGATTAGAAACGGTTAACGAGCGGCTATCGGATAACGATGAACTACAAAAACGGATATGAATGACTATTGGATGACGACTGCAATCGGAAATAAACGGGTAGGGGACACAGGTCTGTATTTCTGAAACAGGTCTGTATTTCAGAAACAGGTCTGTATTTCGGAAACAGGTCTGTAATTTGGAAACAGATCTGTATTTCGGAAACCGGTCTGTATTCGGAGCTGTTAGAAAACATATATCGCATGGTACCCTCTTTGCGCATATCATTACGTCAACGATTACACACTGTTGAGACATGAGACCATCAAAATCCGGTGGACGTAACGGTTCCGAGAAGCGACGGCTCGTCGAGGAGCTGCATGCTCCGGCGAGAAGGAATTTTCCACGAAGACGTGTCATAGTTCGAGGATACGATGATTTGTGGCAAGCCGACCTCGTTGATATGCGTGCATACTCATGTTTCAACAGAGGCTACCACTACATGCTTACAGTCATCGATGTGCTGAGCAAGCATGCTTGGGCTATGCCGCTTAAGACTAAAGGTGGAAGCGAGACGGCTAATGCTATCAGTGAGATAATTCGAGAGAGCGATAGATGCCTGAAAAACCTGCCGATATGGGGAAAGAATTTTACAACGGCGACATGCAACGACTTTTGAAGAAACGCAACATCAATCTCTATTCCACGTATTCCGTATTGAAAGCATCGGTCATCGAGCGGTTCAATCGCACATTGAAGAACACCATGTGGAAGATGTTTACACTCAATGGAAGTTACAAGTGGATAAATTTATTATCGCGACTCATTGCAGAGTACAACGCATGCAAGCACAGGACCATCGGCATGCGACCCGTCGACGTTACCCCTGCGGTTGCTAACAGGCTCCTGAAATCGTTACAGTACAGCGCACCAATCCCGTAACGTATCTACTCGAGGATTATCGTGGAGAACCCGTCACTGGAGCATTCTACGAGTACGAGTTGCATCGCGCGACTTATCCGGATGTGTATCTCGTAGAAAAAGTGCTGCGCAGGAAGGGTGACAAGGTTTATGTGAAATGGTTGGGATTCGCTGGATCGCATAACTCGTGGATAGACAAGAACAATATGTTTTAATTTTTAAAGAATGTATTTATTCGATTAAACATGTATAAGAATATATTAAAGGCATATATACATATACAGATGCATCATTTATTTTACATGTGAATAAACATACTTGTAATAATTACTATTCTATAATGTACAATAATACTGTGAATATATTATAGAGGTATCCGGTAATGTCCCCATGGTAATGTGTCGGTCGAGTCAGGCATGACGTATCGCTTGTCGTCGTATGGACTCAGAGCGATTTTCGTTTCGGCTACAGTGTACACTTGATGCAGCTTCGATCGTATACACGACTGCTGACGCGTCATCTCGATCTCGTCTCGCAGACAATGTGTGTAATCGTCGAACGTTATCGTTCGCGCTACTACATTATTCTTTACGCCTTTAGCCTTCTTTGTATCTTTCTTACCATCGACTCGCAACGCATACATTTTTGCTCTGAGTCCCACGAATTCCGTCATTATCGCGCCATTGTTTTCGTCCTTCATTAGACCGGGCACCTTCTTATTTACAAGCGATATGCCATACGCGTTGTCAACCGGATAATCGCTCGTGTCGAATCTGTGTATATCGCGTTTCACAGTCTCATATACATCCTCGCACTTGACGTGGTATATGAGACTGTCGGTATCAGTATACATGATTCTACGTGTCATTGTACAGGGGTAGCATGTATTCATGGTGAAATTCATACAAGCAGATCTTGGATATGTCGAGGATGCACATACCCACGTAGATTGGCTTGTTGAATTTCACTTCGAGTTTTCGCAATTCTACGGCGATTAAATTTTCTGAAAAGATGCTGCGACTATGAAAATTTGGTTTCGAGATCATCGCCTCCGCACCGTAACGACCATCCCACTTTGTTAGAAGTTTAACGTCGACATGGTTCCGTACATTTTCCATAGTTTTGCCAAATACCGCGTTGTTCATTAATTTGTATAAATTTTTTTTGAAATCGTTTGTCGCATGTGTTCTAAACTGAGTATTAAGCTCGATGTAATCGCGGAGCCATGGAGATTGCGAAAACTCCAATACACGGTGTATCTTTGTCACGCGAAGCCCATGACACGTGCACTGTTGCAGGTTGCGATAGTGTATGACGTAACGCTTCTTATCATACACTGTCGCGAGAAGTTTATCCTGCCGCTTGCCGGGTGGCTTATCGCGCGTCGGACAGAACGGTAGGTCAATGTGCGCGTCGTGAAGATGCTGCGGATACTCGAGATCGACCTCGAGAATGTAACCTGTCGATGAGTCCGCAGCGATTGCGCTAAAGTCGAAATTCGTAATATCTTCGATCCATCGAAAATTTGCATATGGTAGTGATTGACACATCGCCCAACCATACAAATTATTGACATCAAAGTACATCAGGTACGAGGATGGTTTCGATGGATCGTAAGACTGCATGTACTTGTTATTGGCTCGAGCGTACCTGTTCGAGCACTGGCTCAATCCACCGCGTATACCGCGTTCCACAAACATGACCATGTCGATGTTTGTGAGCAGCTCGAAATTTACGCGCGTGTGTTTCAGCATGGCGTCCCACGTGAAACCAGGCAAAGTATAATAATACGCGGGATCTAATCCATAACTGTTGATGCTATTATCGCGAAAATTTTCGAAAATGTCGGCCAATAACAAGACATCTATCTTCTTATATAGGGTGGTCTAAAAGTCCCGGAACGGTTGAATATCCCGAGAAATTGTGGGTGGATCGGAAAACGGAAAAATACGTATTTCCTATTTTTGAAAGAGCTATCGAATGATACCAAAATTGACCCCCACCCCCACCCCTGTGGGTGGGGCGGGGGCAACTTTAAAATCTTAAATGGGAATCCCTACTTTTTATTGCAGATTCGAATTCTACGTCCAAAAACACGTAAATTTTGTCTAAACCTTTTTTTCGATTCCTGATAGATGGCGCTGCATTCGGCGAAAATTGGTTTAATCGTTTTCTTCAAGGGAAATCCCCATGTTTTATTGCATAATGATGCTACGTTGAAGAAAAGTAAATTTTGTCTGAAACATGTTTGTCGAATTATCGTAGATGTCTACGATAATTTTTTATCCGTTCTTAGCTTTACCCAGGATTAACGACGTGGACGTGACGGAAATTATAATCCCTTTGGGGTGCTTGTTTATTGTGAGTCCCCTCGCCTCTCACCATCGGGTAGAGTCCCTGTAGTAAGAGTCTGGCAAGAAATATTCTCCGTTTGATTGGTTTGACGCAAAATGGCGGAACCAATAAGGTGTCTCGAATCTGTACTCTGAACGCGGGATTATTATTATTATTATTATTTGGTTACCTTTGGTCTGTTCGTTATCGCTGCATTACTGCACTAGTGCAATTAACTAACTGCACTAGTGCAGTAACGCAGCGATAACGAACAGACCAGACGCCATTTTGCGTCAACCCTTGCCAGACTCTTACTATAGGGACTCTACCATCGGGGTGCTTGTTTTAGGTGAGTCCCCTCGCCTCTCACTATTCGCCAACTTTAATTCTTTCCTTGCTCAAATTGGTATCCACCCTTCTCTTGGTAAAGTCCCAACAGATAATAAATCCATTGGAAACATTCTGTAACTTCTCTAAACTAATATCATTTGACGCTTCAACAATTCTGTGTTTCAGTTCCTCGATATCGTTGGGTTTGGTTTCAAAAACTTTGCTTTTCAAGTATCCCCAGTAAAAGAAATCAAGAGGCGACAAATCGGGTGATCTTGGTGGCCACTCAATGGTACCTCTTCTACCAATCCACCTGTCAGGGAAAACGTTGTTCAGTACATTGCGTACAATTAGGGCAAAATGAACTTGAGCTCCGTCTTGTTGAAACCAAACATTCTCGAATGCATCCCCAACGATAGCTTGTATTGCAGGTATTATGTTATCGTTCAACAAATTTACGTACTTTTCAGATGTCAAATTGCCATCAATGAAGAATGGCCCGATGATACGATTACACAATATTCCAGCCCAAACGTTAACTTTTTCCGGATACTGTGTACGATGCTCCCTCATCCAGTGGGGATTCTCATCGGTCCAATACCTCATGTTATGCCGATTGACAGATCCGCTCAACTCAAAGGTTGCTTCATCCGAAAAACACGTCCAAAACAGAAATTGATTATTTCTGTCGAATTGTAGCATCATTTCCTCGTAGTATTCAAGTCTACGATCATGATCGTCTCCGATAAGTTCTTGCACTAGTTTTATTTTGTACGGATGATACCGATGCGACTTCAAAATCTGAAGGACAGATGTTTTACTAATTTCGGTTTGTTGAGCTACTTTTCGACTCGAAGTATGAGGATTTTCTTGAAAATTCAATATAACTTCTAAAGATTTTTGTTCGTTTGTGGCAGTTTTAGGTCTTCCAGATCGTGGTTCATCCTTGACTGACCCAGTTCTTTCGAATCGATTACAGGTTCGATATGCAGTAGATTTTGAAATAGGTGCACGATTCCGGAATGTATCGTTGAATAAATGAACAACGTCACCGTATGATCTTTCTCTATCACCAAATCCCCGCATCATGAGAATTGTTATTCTTTCCCTCTCCCGACAATGCCATTGTTGACAGTATAATGAAGTAAAGAATTTTCTAAACTTTAGCAGTCCTATTAATACTCTAATAAAGTCTGCAAATAAACTTTAAATTGTAATAGAAATCTAAAATATTCCAAGATGAATAAGGTGTTTCCGGTTCAAGAGGTAGACTGTGAATGAATTTACTCAAGCACCCCAAAGTATCCCGAAATGAATAAGTGTTTCTGGTTCAAGAGGTGGAATGTAAATGAATTTACTCAAGCATCCCAAAGTAATAAGATTGTAACGAACGATAAAATCCGGTCTAGCTCCTCCCGGTTCCGGACAGGATTCCGGCAGGAATTATTTATTACTCGAATAAATAATGTACTCAATCGGACGCGCGGTTCCGATTGACGGTTGGAGGAGCTAGCGTTCTCGCGGTCGGTATTTGACGTGCTGTGTGTCGGTTCGAGTGAATGGATCCTCCGTTCCTCCTGTTGCCGAATATGCTCAGCTCCAGGGCCGTCGGGAGGAAAGGAGGCAAGGTAGATTTTGATTCGCTTAGTAGAGTCAATCGCTGGGAAGGGATCGGAAATAAGTCTGACAGGTGTTTTTCGGTATAACAATAGGAACGTGGTTTATTCAAAGGATATAATACATAGGAATCGAGGTAATTACAATTGGTCCGCCCTGTGATTAAATATAAACTGAGAAGAAAAGGATTAGTGGTACAATGAGTACGCCCTGTGTCAAAATATAAAAGAAAAGGATTAGACGGATTAAATTGCGGTACCGGAGTACGGAAAGTAAGGAGTACAATACGTGATTAGATCGAAGTACGGAAAATACGGAATCTATTCGGAAAGTAATCAGTACAATACGGATTCACACGAGGTACGGAAAAATAAACGGATCTGGATTAGATTGCGGCCGATTGATTTAGGAGACTCAGATAACGCGGGATTATAATAGCTTTGAACGGTGAAACGGAATGATAAGGAACTTCGGATAGAATACGGTACTGAAACGGTCGGCACGGACGTTTGATACGGGATCCTTCGGTCTGTAAGGAAACAATGGAAACGGGATTAACACTACGGCACTTATGGCTAGAATTAGCTTAATTAGCGTTAATTAATTCTTTCCCACCCAAATATTCCCCCCTGAATTCTACACCGGTCGGAGGTCAGGAATAGAGGATAGGATCAGGTCGGGGACACGCCCGAGAGGCTGCCTCGTTATGCGTGTTTTATCAGTAGCACATGTACACCGGGCAGTACCCCGTTTCTGTGTACGCTACTGCGGACGGATAGACGACCGGTACGGGATCAGTAGCTGTCGCACATCGGGCAGCACCCCGTTCTTGTGCACTACTGTGGGGGAGGGGACCGGGGTACACGACGGAGCAGCGCCTCCACCTGTCGTGCACTCCGGTATGGTATAGCGCCGGACGGCAGTACCCGTTATACCGGCGTATACCGCAGCGGAGGTACCCGCTGCCGGGTGTCGTCGCTCGGTGCTCCGAGGAAAGACTGGACAGTCGCGCTTGCTCCGGAGGGGCTTTTATACCCCTGGAGCCTGGGCGCGCGGGTGGAGGTGGCGAGGGTAGGCGCGGCGTTGCCACCTCCGCGTTGTCATGGTGACCGCGGCTTTGGTATGCGCGGAATGCGAGGAATGCGGCCACTTCCGGCCGCGCCTTCCCGGTTACCCCCGTTACACGTGGAATGCGAGGAATGCGGCCACTTCCGGCCGTGCCTTCCCCGCTACCCCCGTTACAAGATGATAATCACGGTATGATACCGTGGGATCACCTGATCCTGTGGAATCATGGATTGATTCCGTAGGATTATCTGATCCCATCAATTCAACTGGAAAATCTAATCACATGTTAGTTTTTCGATCTGATGCGCGGTTCTCGAAAATATCAAAAAATGTCATTTTTGCGTTTTCAGCGCCATCTATCAAGATTACAAAAAAATGTTTCAGACAAAACTTACGTACTTTTTAACGTGGAATGCGAATCTGTTATAAAAAGTGGGGGTTCCCATTTTAGATTTTAAAGTTGTCCCCCGCCCCACCCATAGGGGTGGGGTGGGGGGGGTCAATTTTGGTATCATTCTGTAACGAACGTAACGGGGTCCAGCTCCTCCCGGTTCCGGACAGGATTCCGGCAGGAATTATTTATTACTCGAATAAACAATGTACTCAATCGGACACGCGGTTCCGATTGACGGTTGGAGGAGCTAGCGTTCTCGCGGTCGGTATTTGACGTGCTGTGTGTCGGTTCGAGTGAATCCTCCGTTCCTCCTGTTTGCCGAATATGCTCAGCTCCAGGGCCGTCGGGAGGAAAGGAGGAAAAGTAGATCTTAATTCGCAAATAGAGTCAGTCGCTTGGAAGGGATCGGAAATAAGTCTGACAGGTGGTTTTCGGTATAACAATAGGAACAAGGTTTATTCAAAGGATATCTACAGTGGAATAGAGGTGGTTACAATAGGTTCGCCCTATATGTGAATACAAAAGAAATAAGGAAGATTAGTGCGACGGATAGATACAAGGAAATCGTGGTAATTACAAAAGTACGCCCTGTGATCAAAATATAATGAAAAGGAAAGGATTAGTAGATCACATCGAGTCCGCCCTAT